TGGTTTCATACCTTCAATATACGTTTTCACGGAATATTCTTCGTCGTTATTAAACGTTTTCCAGAAGTTAGCCCTTCCATAGTGTGGCATCTTTTCCGAAAATCGAAGATTGCGTGTCATTTTTTTATAGAGTCGATCAGTATAAGTCACTGTTGAAGTGACGTTGAATCCATCGGTAAGGTAATGATTCGAATGCTCTAAACTAAATTCGATTTCTCCGTTAGGTTGAATTCGTGAATATGATGTGTTTTTGCCAAGTATAACGCCCTGTTCACCTTCGACTGTTTCGGAGCATTTGCAATTCGATTTTGGAAAATTATTTACATTATCTTTGAACAATTGTTCATTTCTTCCAACAAAGGAGTTATCCTTCAAGAGTTCCATCATGGATTTGCCGATAATCGATTGTTCCTGATGCTTTTCTTGTTCCGTCCGTTGTTCCCATGGTTTTTGAAATGCGAATTTTTTTTCCAAATGACTGAGAGACTTATCTGAGAGAACAATTTTTGAGTTCTTAAAATCTTTCATGGTTAATTCAGATCCACATTCCTGGATAGCAGCACCCAATTTACTTTGCTGTTTAGGAAGTTCCTGTTTCATCATCGTATTAATATGGCGGGATTCATTTTGTCTGTGCTGTTTTTCGTTGAAATAATCTATACTTGTCGCTGGACCAATTCCCACAACTTGTGGAATGTTAAAATGAGCAAATGATTTATCTATTATACCTGATAAAGCCAGCTGATCATTTACCGCAGCATTAGTAATCATTACGCCACTAACAACTTCACTAGACACACCAGTTTCGAGCAGAATAGTCGCATCAGCTCCAGCTTCTGTTCTGCGCGAATGGTCAGAATCCCCACTGCCACTTTCAACAGTATGAAATTCAATGTTTTTCTGACCCGCTGTATACCCAATTCTAGAACTTTTTTGTTTTTCTAGCTCTTTCACCGATTTTACTGTTGCAGTTCCTTCAGCAGACTTAGGAATTTTTACATAACTATTATAGACAGAATGGAATTGTTCAAATTCAGTATACGTCATTTCAGTTTCTGGGAATAAAACTTGAATTATGGGACTATAAGAATCAGTAAGTGGATTGCTCATCGAGCATCCGTTATCATAAATTGTTTGATCAGTTTGAATATTTTTTTGAATTTGATTGAAAATTTTCATCTTATGGTCTTCTATGTTAAGCATTCTGATAGATTTAACAACTCTGTTTCTATGTCCAAACAGTAACATCGAGTTCTCATCATCCTCTACGATCCAGCATTCAGAAGTAATGTCGGCAGACGGTGATAAAGTCAGAAGATGTGCTGGAATGGAATCGTCGTCAAAGGAAATTCTATCATTAGTTATATCCATTTCATGTTCCATATCTTTAGTGAGAACATTTTTATCATCCAATGTCATGTTATCGGTTGCATCAAATGGCAAGATATTTTGGATCGGATTTATTGTCATATCTACAGATTGCTGTTGAGAATCGGGACCTGACGTTGCAGAACTTGTTCTCGAAAATTTCTCTGATTCACTTTCTTCAACGCTATATTCTTCGTAACCCGATTTTGTGCCTTCTTCTTCAACCCAATCCTTATCGATAGGTAATTTTGTTTGAAATTTGCCGAACTCTTCTTCAGCCATGTACGAAACATGTGCTATATGTTCCAGTTCATCTCGAGTTAATTTAAATTCCGACTCTTTGTTTATGGCAACTTTTTGAGCATCCATTTCTTGTTCAACATTGCTAATAACATTTGTGTTGATATGTTCCATTTTTTCCACTGATAACAGATTTTTTTCTGTCTTATCAAAAATCTTAGAAGTAATGTCGGCAGATGGTGATAAAGTCAGAAGATGTGCTGGAATGGAATCGTCGTCAAAGGAAATTCTATCATTAGTTATATCCATTTCATGTTCCATATCTTTAGTGAGAACATTTTTATCATCCAATGTCATGTTATCGGTTGCATCAAATGGCAAGATATTTTGGATCGGATTTATTGTCATATCTACAGATTGCTGTTGAGAATCGGGACCTGACGTTGCAGAACTTGTTCTCGAAAATTTCTCTGATTCACTTTCTTCAACGCTATATTCTTCGTAACCCGATTTTGTGCCTTCTTCTTCAACCCAATCCTTATCGATAGGTAATTTTGTTTGAAATTTGCCGAACTCTTCTTCAGCCATGTACGAAACATGTGCTATATGTTCCAGTTCATCTCGAGTTAATTTAAATTCCGACTCTTTGTTTATGGCAACTTTTTGAGCATCCATTTCTTGTTCAACATTGCTAATAACATTTGTGTTGATATGTTCCATTTTTTCCACTGATGACAGATTTTTTTCTGTCTTATCAAAAATCTTAGAAGTAATGTCGGCAGATGGTGATAAAGTCAGAAGATGTGCTGGAATGGAATCGTCGTCAAAGGAAATTCTATCATTAGTTATATCCATTTCATGTTCCATATCTTTAGTGAGAACATTTTTATCATCCAATGTCATGTTATCGGTTGCATCAAATGGCAAGATATTTTGGATCGGATTTACTGTCATATCTACAGATTGCTGTTGAGAATCGGGACCTGACGTTGCAGAACTTGTTCTCGAAAATTTCTCTGATTCACTTTCTTCAACGCTATATTCTTCGTAACCCGATTTTGTGCCTTCTTCTTCAACCCAATCCTTATCGATAGGTAATTTTGTTTGAAATTTGCCGAACTCTTCTTCAGCCATGTACGAAACATGTGCTATATGTTCCAGTTCATCTCGAGTTAATTTAAATTCCGACTCTTTGTTTATGGCAACTTTTTGAGCATCCATTTCTTGTTCAACATTGCTAATAACATTTGTGTTGATATGTTCCATTTTTCCCACTGATAACAGATTTTTTTCTGTCTTATCAAAAATCTTAGAAGTAATGTCGGCAGATGGTGATAAAGTCAGAAGATGTGCAGGAATGGAATCGTCGTCAAAGGAAATTCTATCATTAGTTATATCCATTTCATGTTCCATATCTTTAGTGAGAACATTTTTATCATCCAATGTCATGTTATCGGTTGCATCAAATGGCAAGATATTTTGGATCGGATTTATTGTCATATCTACAGATTGCTGTTGAGAATCGGGACCTGACGTTGCAGAACTTGTTCTCGAAAATTTCTCTGATTCACTTTCTTCAACGCTATATTCTTCGTAACCCGATTTTGTGCCTTCTTCTTCAACCCAATCCTTATCGATAGGTAATTTTGTTTGAAATTTGCCGAACTCTTCTTCAGCCATGTACGAAACATGTGCTATATGTTCCAGTTCATCTCGAGTTAATTTAAATTCCGACTCTTTGTTTATGGCAACTTTTTGAGCATCCATTTCTTGTTCAACATTGCTAATAACATTTGTGTTGATATGTTCCATTTTTTCCACTGATAACAGATTTTTTTCTGTCTTATCAAAAATCTTAGAAGTAATGTCGGCAGATGGTGATAAAGTCAGAAGATGTGCTGGAATGGAATCGTCGTCAAAGGAAATTCTATCATTAGTTATATCCATTTCATGTTCCATATCTTTAGTGAGAACATTTTTATCATCCAATGTCATGTTATCGGTTGCATCAAATGGCATGATATTTTGGATCGGATTTATTGTCATATCTACAGATTGCTGTTGAGAATCGGGACCTGACGTTGCAGAACTTGTTCTCGAAAATTTCTCTGATTCACTTTCTTCAACGCTATATTCTTCGTAACCCGATTTTGTGCCTTCTTCTTCTTCTTCAACCCAATCCTTATCGATAGGTAATTTTGTTTGAAATTTGCCGAACTCTTCTTCAGCCATGTACGAAACATGTGCTATATGTTCCAGTTCATCTCGAGTTAATTTAAATTCCGACTCTTTGTTTATGGCAACTTTTTGAGCATCCATTTCTTGTTCAACATTGCTAATAACATTTGTGTTGATATGTTCCATTTTTTCCACTGATGACAGATTTTTTTCTGTCTTATCAAAAATCTTAGAAGTAATGTCGGCAGATGGTGATAAAGTCAGAAGATGTGCTGGAATGGAATCGTCGTCAAAGGAAATTCTATCATTAGTTATATCCATTTCATGTTCCATATCTTTAGTGAGAACATTTTTATCATCCAATGTCATGTTATCGGTTGCATCAAATGGCAAGATATTTTGGATCGGATTTATTGTCATATCTACAGATTGCTGTTGAGAATCGGGACCTGACATTGCAGAACTTGTTCTCGAAAATTTCTCTGATTCACTTTCTTCAACGCTATATTCTTCGTAACCCGATTTTGTGCCTTCTTCTTCAACCCAATCCTTATCGATAGGTAATTTTGTTTGAAATTTGCCGAACTCTTCTTCAGCCATGTACGAAACATGTGCTATATGTTCCAGTTCATCTCGAGTTAATTTAAATTCCGACTCTTTGTTTATGGCAACTTTTTGAGCATCCATTTCTTGTTCAACATTGCTAATAACATTTGTGTTGATATGTTCCATTTTTTCCACTGATAACAGATTTTTTAAAGAAAAAAAAAAAATCTTAGAAGTAATGTCGGCAGATGGTGATAAAGTCAGAAGATGTGCTGGAATGGAATCGTCGTCAAAGGAAATTCTATCATTAGTTATATCCATTTCATGTTCCATATCTTTAGTGAGAACATTTTTATCATCCAATGTCATGTTATCGGTTGCATCAAATGGCAAGATATTTTGGATCGGATTTATTGTCATATCTACAGATTGCTGTTGAGAATCGGGACCTGACGTTGCAGAACTTGTTCTCGAAAATTTCTCTGATTCACTTTCTTCAACGCTATATTCTTCGTAACCCGATTTTGTGCCTTCTTCTTCTTCTTCAACCCAATCCTTATCGATAGGTAATTTTGTTTGAAATTTGCCGAACTCTTCTTCAGCCATGTACGAAACATGTGCTATATGTTCCAGTTCATCTCGAGTTAATTTAAATTCCGACTCTTTGTTTATGGCAACTTTTTGAGCATCCATTTCTTGTTCAACATTGCTAATAACATTTGTGTTGATATGTTCCATTTTTTCCACTGATAACAGATTTTTTCTGTCTTATCAAAAATCTTAGAAGTAATGTCGGCAGATGGTGATAAAGTCAGAAGATGTGCTGGAATGGAATCGTCGTCAAAGGAAATTCTATCATTAGTTATATCCATTTCATGTTCCATATCTTTAGTGAGAACATTTTTATCATCCAATGTCATGTTATCGGTTGCATCAAATGGCAAGATATTTTGGATCGGATTTATTGTCATATCTACAGATTGCTGTTGAGAATCGGGACCTGACGTTGCAGAACTTGTTCTCGAAAATTTCTCTGATTCACTTTCTTCAGCGCTATATTCTTCGTAACCCGATTTTGTGCCTTCTTCTTCAACCCAATCCTTATCGATAGGTAATTTTGTTTGAAATTTGCCGAACTCTTCTTCAGCCATGTACGAAACATGTGCTATATGTTCCAGTTCATCTCGAGTTAATTTAAATTCCGACTCTTTGTTTATGGCAACTTTTTGAGCATCCATTTCTTGTTCAACATTGCTAATAACATTTGTGTTGATATGTTCCACTGATAACAGATTTTTTCTGTCTTATCAAAAATCTTAGAAGTGTCGGCAGATGGTGATAAAGTCAGAAGATGTGCTGGAATGGAATCGTCGTCAAAGGAAATTCTATCATTAGTTATATCCATTTCATGTTCCATATCTTTAGTGAGAACATTTTTATCATCCAATGTCATGTTATCGGTTGCATCAAATGGCAAGATATTTTGGATCGGATTTATTGTCATATCTACAGATTGCTGTTGAGAATCGGGACCTGACGTTGCAGAACTTGTTCTCGAAAATTTCTCTGATTCACTTTCTTCAACGCTATATTCTTCGTAACCCGATTTTGTGCCTTCTTCTTCAACCCAATCCTTATCGATAGGTAATTTTGTTTGAAATTTGCCGAACTCTTCTTCAGCCATGTACGAAACATGTGCTATATGTTCCAGTTCATCTCGAGTTAATTTAAATTCCGACTCTTTGTTTATGGCAACTTTTTGAGCATCCATTTCTTGTTCAACATTGCTAATAACATTTGTGTTGATATGTTCCATTTTTTCCACTGATAACAGATTTTTTTCTGTCTTATCAAAAATCTTAGAAGTAATGTCGGCAGATGGTGATAAAGTCAGAAGATGTGCTGGAATGGAATCGTCGTCAAAGGAAATTCTATCATTAGTTATATCCATTTCATGTTCCATATCTTTAGTGAGAACATTTTTATCATCCAATGTCATGTTATCGGTTGCATCAAATGGCAAGATATTTTGGATCGGATTTATTGTCATATCTACAGATTGCTGTTGAGAATCGGGACCTGACGTTGCAGAACTTGTTCTCGAAAATTTCTCTGATTCACTTTCTTCAACGCTATATTCTTCGTAACCCGATTTTGTGCCTTCTTCTTCAACCCAATCCTTATCGATAGGTAATTTTGTTTGAAATTTGCCGAACTCTTCTTCAGCCATGTACGAAACATGTGCTATATGTTCCAGTTCATCTCGAGTTAATTTAAATTCCGACTCTTTGTTTATGGCAACTTTTTGAGCATCCATTTCTTGTTCAACATTGCTAATAACATTTGTGTTGATATGTTCCATTTTTCACTGATAACAGATTTTTTCTGTCTTATCAAAAATCTTAGAAGTAATGTCGGCAGATGGTGATAAAGTCAGAAGATGTGCTGGAATGGAATCGTCGTCAAAGGAAATTCTATCATTAGTTATATCCATTTCATGTTCCATATCTTTAGTGAGAACATTTTTATCATCCAATGTCATGTTATCGGTTGCATCAAATGGCAAGATATTTTGGATCGGATTTATTGTCATATCTACAGATTGCTGTTGAGAATCGGGACCTGACGTTGCAGAACTTGTTCTCGAAAATTTCTCTGATTCACTTTCTTCAGCGCTATATTCTTCGTAACCCGATTTTGTGCCTTCTTCTTCAACCCAATCCTTATCGATAGGTAATTTTGTTTGAAATTTGCCGAACTCTTCTTCAGCCATGTACGAAACATGTGCTATATGTTCCAGTTCATCTCGAGTTAATTTAAATTCCGACTCTTTGTTTATGGCAACTTTTTGAGCATCCATTTCTTGTTCAACATTGCTAATAACATTTGTGTTGATATGTTCCATTTTTTCCACTGATAACAGATTTTTTTCTGTCTTATCAAAAATCTTAGAAGTAATGTCGGCAGATGGTGATAAAGTCAGAAGATGTGCTGGAATGGAATCGTCGTCAAAGGAAATTCTATCATTAGTTATATCCATTTCATGTTCCATATCTTTAGTGAGAACATTTTTATCATCCAATGTCATGTTATCGGTTGCATCAAATGGCAAGATATTTTGGATCGGATTTATTGTCATATCTACAGATTGCTGTTGAGAATCGGGACCTGACGTTGCAGAACTTGTTCTCGAAAATTTCTCTGATTCACTTTCTTCAACGCTATATTCTTCGTAACCCGATTTTGTGCCTTCTTCTTCAACCCAATCCTTATCGATAGGTAATTTTGTTTGAAATTTGCCGAACTCTTCTTCAGCCATGTACGAAACATGTGCTATATGTTCCAGTTCATCTCGAGTTAATTTAAATTCCGACTCTTTGTTTATGGCAACTTTTTGAGCATCCATTTCTTGTTCAACATTGCTAATAACATTTGTGTTGATATGTTCCATTTTTTCCACTGATAACAGATTTTTTTCTGTCTTATCAAAAATCTTAGAAGTAATGTCGGCAGATGGTGATAAAGTCAGAAGATGTGCTGGAATGGAATCGTCGTCAAAGGAAATTCTATCATTAGTTATATCCATTTCATGTTCCATATCTTTAGTGAGAACATTTTTATCATCCAATGTCATGTTATCGGTTGCATCAAATGGCAAGATATTTTGGATCGGATTTATTGTCATATCTACAGATTGCTGTTGAGAATCGGGACCTGACGTTGCAGAACTTGTTCTCGAAAATTTCTCTGATTCACTTTCTTCAACGCTATATTCTTCGTAACCCGATTTTGTGCCTTCTTCTTCAACCCAATCCTTATCGATAGGTAATTTTGTTTGAAATTTGCCGAACTCTTCTTCAGCCATGTACGAAACATGTGCTATATGTTCCAGTTCATCTCGAGTTAATTTAAATTCCGACTCTTTGTTTATGGCAACTTTTTGAGCATCCATTTCTTGTTCAACATTGCTAATAACATTTGTGTTGATATGTTCCATTTTTTCCACTGATAACAGATTTTTTTCTGTCTTATCAAAAATCTTAGAAGTAATGTCGGCAGATGGTGATAAAGTCAGAAGATGTGCTGGAATGGAATCGTCGTCAAAGGAAATTCTATCATTAGTTATATCCATTTCATGTTCCATATCTTTAGTGAGAACATTTTTATCATCCAATGTCATGTTATCGGTTGCATCAAATGGCAAGATATTTTGGATCGGATTTATTGTCATATCTACAGATTGCTGTTGAGAATCGGGACCTGACGTTGCAGAACTTGTTCTCGAAAATTTCTCTGATTCACTTTCTTCAGCGCTATATTCTTCGTAACCCGATTTTGTGCCTTCTTCTTCAACCCAATCCTTATCGATAGGTAATTTTGTTTGAAATTTGCCGAACTCTTCTTCAGCCATGTACGAAACATGTGCTATATGTTCCAGTTCATCTCGAGTTAATTTAAATTCCGACTCTTTTTTATGGCAACTTTTGAGCATCCATTTCTTGTTCAACATTGCTAATAACATTTGTGTTGATATGTTCCATTTTTTCCACTGATAACAGATTTTTTCTGTCTTATCAAAAAATCTTAGAATATTCGGCAGATGATAAAGTCAGAAGATGTGCTGGAATGGAATCGTCGTCAAAGGAAATTCTATCATTAGTTATATCCATTTCATGTTCCATATCTTTAGTGAGAACATTTTTATCATCCAATGTCATGTTATCGGTTGCATCAAATGGCAAGATATTTTGGATCGGATTTATTGTCATATCTACAGATTGCTGTTGAGAATCGGGACCTGACGTTGCAGAACTTGTTCTCGAAAATTTCTCTGATTCACTTTCTTCAACGCTATATTCTTCGTAACCCGATTTTGTGCCTTCTTCTTCAACCCAATCCTTATCGATAGGTAATTTTGTTTGAAATTTGCCGAACTCTTCTTCAGCCATGTACGAAACATGTGCTATATGTTCCAGTTCATCTCGAGTTAATTTAAATTCCGACTCTTTGTTTATGGCAACTTTTTGAGCATCCATTTCTTGTTCAACATTGCTAATAACATTTGTGTTGATATGTTCCATTTTTTCCACTGATGACAGATTTTTTTCTGTCTTATCAAAAATCTTAGAAGTAATGTCGGCAGATGGTGACAAAGTCAGAAGATGTGCTGGAATGGAATCGTCGTCAAAGGAAATTCTATCATTAGTTATATCCATTTCATGTTCCATATCTTTAGTGAGAACATTTTTATCATCCAATGTCATGTTATCGGTTGCATCAAATGGCAAGATATTTTGGATCGGATTTATTGTCATATCTACAGATTGCTGTTGAGAATCGGGACCTGACGTTGCAGAACTTGTTCTCGAAAATTTCTCTGATTCACTTTCTTCAACGCTATATTCTTCGTAACCCGATTTTGTGCCTTCTTCTTCAACCCAATCCTTATCGATAGGTAATTTTGTTTGAAATTTGCCGAACTCTTCTTCAGCCATGTACGAAACATGTGCTATATGTTCCAGTTCATCTCGAGTTAATTTAAATTCCGACTCTTTGTTTATGGCAACTTTTTGAGCATCCATTTCTTGTTCAACATTGCTAATAACATTTGTGTTGATATGTTCCATTTTTTCCACTGATAACAGATTTTTTTCTGTCTTATCAAAAATCTTAGAAGTAATGTCGGCAGATGGTGATAAAGTCAGAAGATGTGCTGGAATGGAATCGTCGTCAAAGGAAATTCTATCATTAGTTATATCCATTTCATGTTCCATATCTTTAGTGAGAACATTTTTATCATCCAATGTCATGTTATCGGTTGCATCAAATGGCAAGATATTTTGGATCGGATTTATTGTCATATCTACAGATTGCTGTTGAGAATCGGGACCTGACGTTGCAGAACTTGTTCTCGAAAATTTCTCTGATTCACTTTCTTCAACGCTATATTCTTCGTAACCCGATTTTGTGCCTTCTTCTTCAACCCAATCCTTATCGATAGGTAATTTTGTTTGAAATTTGCCGAACTCTTCTTCAGCCATGTACGAAACATGTGCTATATGTTCCAGTTCATCTCGAGTTAATTTAAATTCCGACTCTTTGTTTATGGCAACTTTTTGAGCATCCATTTCTTGTTCAACATTGCTAATAACATTTGTGTTGATATCCATTTTTTCCACTGATAACAGATTTTTTCTGTCTTATCAAAAATCTTAGAAGTAATGTCGGCAGATGGTGATAAAGTCAGAAGATGTGCTGGAATGGAATCGTCGTCAAAGGAAATTCTATCATTAGTTATATCCATTTCATGTTCCATATCTTTAGTGAGAACATTTTTATCATCCAATGTCATGTTATCGGTTGCATCAAATGGCAAGATATTTTGGATCGGATTTATTGTCATATCTACAGATTGCTGTTGAGAATCGGGACCTGACGTTGCAGAACTTGTTCTCGAAAATTTCTCTGATTCACTTTCTTCAACGCTATATTCTTCGTAACCCGATTTTGTGCCTTCTTCTTCAACCCAATCCTTATCGATAGGTAATTTTGTTTGAAATTTGCCGAACTCTTCTTCAGCCATGTACGAAACATGTGCTATATGTTCCAGTTCATCTCGAGTTAATTTAAATTCCGACTCTTTGTTTATGGCAACTTTTGAGCATCCATTTCTTGTTCAACATTGCTAATAACATTTGTGTTGATATGTTCCATTTTTCCACTGATAACAGATTTTTTCTGTCTTATCAAAAATCTTAGAAGTAATGTCGGCAGATGGTGATAAAGTCAGAAGATGTGCTGGAATGGAATCGTCGTCAAAGGAAATTCTATCATTAGTTATATCCATTTCATGTTCCATATCTTTAGTGAGAACATTTTTATCATCCAATGTCATGTTATCGGTTGCATCAAATGGCAAGATATTTTGGATCGGATTTATTGTCATATCTACAGATTGCTGTTGAGAATCGGGACCTGACGTTGCAGAACTTGTTCTCGAAAATTTCTCTGATTCACTTTCTTCAACGCTATATTCTTCGTAACCCGATTTTTTGTGCCTTCTTCTTCAACCCAATCCTTATCGATAGGTAATTTTGTTTGAAATTTGCCGAACTCTTCTTCAGCCATGTACGAAACATGTGCTATATGTTCCAGTTCATCTCGAGTTAATTTAAATTCCGACTCTTTGTTTATGGCAACTTTTTGAGCATCCATTTCTTGTTCAACATTGCTAATAACATTTGTGTTGATATGTTCCATTTTTCCACTGATAACAGATTTTTTCTGTCTTATCAAAAATCTTAGAAGTAATGTCGGCAGATGGTGATAAAGTCAGAAGATGTGCTGGAATGGAATCGTCGTCAAAGGAAATTCTATCATTAGTTATATCCATTTCATGTTCCATATCTTTAGTGAGAACATTTTTATCATCCAATGTCATGTTATCGGTTGCATCAAATGGCAAGATATTTTGGATCGGATTTATTGTCATATCTACAGATTGCTGTTGAGAATCGGGACCTGACGTTGCAGAACTTGTTCTCGAAAATTTCTCTGATTCACTTTCTTCAACGCTATATTCTTCGTAACCCGATTTTGTGCCTTCTTCTTCAACCCAATCCTTATCGATAGGTAATTTTGTTTGAAATTTGCCGAACTCTTCTTCAGCCATGTACGAAACATGTGCTATATGTTCCAGTTCATCTCGAGTTAATTTAAATTCCGACTCTTTGTTTATAGCAGTTTTTTGAACATGATTTTCCTTGTCAGCTGTTGAGTTGTGAATTTGAATACTTTGCACATAAAGTTTTCCTTCGACCCATTTGCTAACACTGTCGGTTAGTTCCAAATCTGTTGCTGGCGGCATTTTGGTCTCTCCCATATGCAGGCTTTTCTCTGCGGTTTCCTGTTGTAGGTTGATGCAGGTATCAGAAAATGATTTCTCGATCTTGCCAATTTGATTGATTTTTACTTCATTTAAAGTGAAATCTGAATCTTTCTTTTCTCTCCTTCCATGAGGCAGTTGTTTTAAAGCTATTAATTCTTGAATGATCTGCTGGTTGAAATGAACAGTTTGTCCTTGTTTTTTTCTTAATACCAGTCCATGTTTCTCCTGATCAGCATTAGCAATCACTTCCCTTGCTCTATTCGTGGATGTTCTGTTAAATTTAGTAATTGTTGAAGCTGCTGATAATGATTTGCGATTATGAGACTTTGAATCCTCACTATAACTAATTTTGAAGTCTCTCGTTTTCGGCTTCACCTTAATGTTGGTGTTCTCAGCGATTATACCCACTCCGATGGTTTCAAAAAAACGGACATGAGATTCTGAATCCTCATTGCTATTACTTCCTTCTGTATTCTGGTATGAGGCTCTAGTTCCAAATTGCTGCTGTTCATATAGTTCTCCGCCTCGCACTTCGTTTTTCATATATGATTGTCCGCTGTTATCGGCAATTACTTTCCCTTTTAAAGCATTCGAACAAACACAAGCGGCGGATACAGTCATGTCTGGCTTAAACGTTGACGATTTTGCATTGTTCGTTGCATCCAGTTCATATGTACAGACACGAGAATGAATAGTATTACTCATTAGTGAGTGCACACAATCGATTTTTTGTTGGTCATAACTTGGTTCATGGAGCGGGGAATCTAAAAGATATGTTTCAGTTGGATACTGTTGAGGAGATGCTATTTTATCAGCAATCTGATGGTTCCGCAGTTCATTTCCATTTGATTTGGATTCCTTAAAGTCTCTTGAAGAGAATATTTCCTTTCCAAAGTTACCAGCATTGTCACTGAGGGGACCGCTTAACGACTTATCCTCAAAAGTTAAGGTAACATTATATGCAGATGTTGAGTGATAAGTCGACCTAGTCCCAATTTCAGTTTCTTCTATTTTTTTACCAAAATTCTGCTGTCCAAGGCTTCTATTTAAATGAAGTTCAAACACCAAGTCATCAGCTTCATTTTCTTCCCTCACCTTAGATGTTGATCTGTTTCTTGTGTTGGTGCTTTTATTGTCTTGCATTTCCTCAATATTGATTTCTAGGTTTTGGTCCAGAGCTCTTTCAAAACCATCGTCAACTAGAGATGCATTTTCAAGTTCTGATGTTGCAGGATCTTTCTTTGATATTTTTTCGCTCATCCTTAATAATTCAGATTCTAATATTGAATCTTTGTTTTTAATAGAATTTTCAACTTTTGTGTCTGCTTGCATGGTACCCTTAGCCGTACCTATAACATTTACGACTTCTTGCTCTTTCGCAGTCGATTCTTCAAAAAATTTCAGTTTGTTTACTTCATCCTTTCTACTTCTAAGTGTTCGATAAATATCAACAGTATTAATCATTATGAATGAATCTGGAGCTTCCGATGCTTTATTCTCACTGTCTCTTTTTTGCCCTATGAGATTATCGTTTTGGTGTGCTTCACCTTCAGTTTCCCATCCTTCTGTTAAATCATATTTTATTTCGTCATGTTTTGTTTTACTTATCGAGTATGACAGCCCATAGTCTCCATAATTCTCCAAGTTTTTCTGTCGCAGCTCATGTTTTTTCTGGTCTTGAAGTTTTGTTATTTTTGCCATTGTTAATCCATTAGAATTTGTTCCAATCTTTTCGAATTTCTTTAAATGCATTCCTTGATTTTCGAATTTTGTACCAATTTCTTCGTTTGCAAATTCATTCCACTCCCGTTCCTCCATTGTGAATGATTGTTCTTCCTCAGTCTTCTCCTTTTTTATTACCATATCGAATCCAGGATATGTCTTATCTAGAACACTCGAAGCATTGGAGTTGGTCTCATCAAATTTCATGATCGAGGCCGAATTTGATTTCTGCTTGTTAAACATCGCATGTCGTTCATCTAAAGTGTAACTGAATAGATCTCCCGAATTGTCTTCGCATATGACGTTTTTATCAATAGCAAACTGCGTTACAATTTCCTCAGTGTTATGTAGTTTATCAAATTTACAGCAACTTTCGAATTTTTGTTCTTTAAAGTCATTGAATTGCCAAATTGGTTCTTCCGTATCTTGGACTTCCATTTCTGGCACGTTCGAGGCTCTATTCTCGACTGTAGATGAAAAGCTAGATTCTAAAGACATTTGTTTACCGTGAATTTTGTGAATCTGATTAGGAGAGGACAATGCATTTTTCACATTGTTCTCTTCAAATTCATTAAAATTGTTTGCAATTTTGGTTGTTGAATTTGAGAGAAATTCAGAATGGGATAAACTTTGCTCCTTTCCAACTAATATATTCTTTCTTCCATTTTCATTCGTCATCTGGCTGTGTATACTGTTTTTAGACTTCAATGTTTCATTTAAAGATCTCCAGTCTGAACATACCAAGTCTGTTTCCATAAGTTGTTCCAATTTCATTTCACTGTCAAAGATGGACGTTGCGTGATTTATCATCGCTTTTAATGTAGAAGATGACCATTCCTCTAAACTAGTCGTCAGATCGAATTCTGGATTATACATATGTTTTTCTTGGCCGAAAGTTTTCACCTGAATTGTTTGCAGTGTTTCTTCATCCGACGCAGCACATTCGGCCTCTTTGATGATTTGTTCTATGTATTTCATCACTTCATTGTTTTGTGTCCTTTCATCATTTCTTAACTGTTCCATTGAAATGGAAGTGGATTTTTCCATATAGAAATTTTCGCTATGAGACCATTCTGAATCGAGCTGTTGTTCGGTATTCCAATCTGTTTCTGAAAATTCAGAAACAGAACTCTCTCTAGATACCGGTCTAGTTTGCTTTTTAGTTTCGCAGACGCCAATAAATGGATTCGTGTAAATATCTCTATTCGGATCCACTTCATAAAGTATCAGTGGCGGACTCATCTTTCTTCCATGAAGTTGTTGCTTCATGTAGAGATGTAAACTCTGTTTTTCATTGTCCAATAAAGTGTATTCATTTGCAAATTCATCAGATGACACACTGCAACTACTTTCATCAAGGCTGCTGTAATCATCTATAGAAGGGAAAGAATTTATTTTTGCTTTCTGAACGTTTTCCTGAGCCGATGAAGTTAGTTTAATCCCGAAAAACTGTTCCTGTAATGCGGATCCTTGTTTTTTCAGCATAACATCAGCCAGAACTAAGGCTAAAATATGAATCCAGAGTTCTTCTGCAAAGTTCTGTAATACAGATGTTAGCTCTTGTGAAAGCTTTTCTTTATCGTCTTCCAAAAGCACATAACAAAATTCTTGTGCACAGTCATCATCAAGTTCTGCAAATTAAGCTTAATCAAAATTATTACAAAATTTACAACTTCATGTGTAAGTTTTATGTATTGGTTGCATTTAAGTAGCATGTTCTCAGCAATTTTGTTTTTTTTTTTTGTACGTTGTACTTGAACAAATTCAGCTATGTAGAAAATAACCTGAATGATGATACAGCGTTGACTCTTGATCAATGAGATGTGCCAAGGATTGAATACATTCACAAGAAATTGATTTTTTAAAGGTTGTAGATGAAGCACGCAGTAAGGCAATATGCACGTTACGATCGCTTTTCGACCAGTTCGCATGTAGCGGTTCTTGGCCACCAAGTAATTCTACGGCGTTCATATATACACACTTAAAGATGTTGATTGTCAGTTCGGAGCAGTATCTATCTATCGCTGCATCGGTCCCATATTTCAGCTTTAATTCGTTATATACAGCAGTAAATATAACGGTACATAACCAATGACAGTACTGATCCAGAACACATTTACAGACAGAATCAGCAATGGCCAGTGTACAGATTTCATGTGACATCTTAGACACATATTTCGCAAAACCTGTATTCGTTTCTATATTGAGAGGAGTTGAAAAGCGAACCACTAAAAAAAAAAACACATTTATTAATTTCATTCAAAATGACTACATGTTTTCTCCTATTTGTAAAATAATACCAGAGTTTATACCATGAATCATTTGGTTGTACTGATTGTAAAATGGTTGGTCATTCAGAACTTCAGCAAATCATTTGAAGACGAGTATTATTCATTTATAAAACTTACATTTTCGTGCAGACGTTAGTATATCATCTCCATCGTCATCAAGAGAACTCATCCAGCGGTATAACTGCCTACTGAGTCGTTTAATGCTTTGTGTAAAATTTCCAGGTTGTTCGCTAAACGAATCTAAAAATATCTCACTTGAAAACAATTTCCAGTTATGTGTTTCTAGAATTTAATCGGTAATACCATTTTTCGGTGCTGCTTTGTTAAATTTTTATTGTTATAGCAGTCATTATATTAAAAGAAAATAATCTCAGAAAAAATACCTTTCGTGTCTTTTGAGTCACTCACCGAGAATTCTGAATAACTGTAACTAGGATTCAGCAACGAATCACTTGCTTCGGTGACTTGTATTGCTTCAAGAAAATGTTGAAAAATTAGTTTGACTATCAATCTATAACTTTTTATAATTCATGCAAAGACTTTCTCAAATCATGTACAAAAGTTAAAAAAAACCGTACTTTCTGGAAGTGAATCCATCTGTACAAAGCTTTCATTCTGAACGGTAAAAAATTCTTCATTTTCGTCAACTGTTCCTCGAAATATTGCATCACTGAATCTCGAAAGTTTTCTTGTGTTCAGCACAATTCGAGCTTCCTTTTGTGACTGTTCTGCTCGCCGGAAAACCTGTAATGAGCATTAACTTGAAGCAATGGAGAACTGTACTGAGTTGACGAAACTGATTTGTTAAGTTCATGCCAGCTCAAGGTAAGCGAAAAACACTATAGTTATGCAGATTATTATCTTTTATTGCTAGAGTAGTTATTTCGAACTTGCGAGCATGTGTTCATTAGTTACAATAACATTATTAGTTCATAACATCACAATAATTCATTTTACTCAAAGTCAAAGTTATAATAGATCGATAACGAAAAAGGGAGCTATACAAAACCATACTTCCTTTATATGAGCTTGCTGTTCCTCATCCAATTCCTGTAGAATTGATGGATTTAAAGGTCCATCTTCCAATTCTTCTGAATTGTTCTCTTCTTCTTCGTCTAATTTTCTTAACCTACAATACAGTTTATATTTACACTAGGTTGAAACAGATAAATTTCATCGCTTTATAGTATTTTATAGATCCCCATGCAGTCAGTGAAACCGTTACACCTTACTGTCATACAACCTTTTTTTTTCAAATTATCCTAATTAATTATTGATTAAACGAATAAATTACAGAATCAGTTGAAATTTATAACTTCCGTGGCGACAGAGATGCATCATTTCCGAAAATTTTTGTTTGAAAACTGTTTGAAAACTTTTTTTAAATTAGTTTAATCAAGATAGCAGCAAGAACAGCAAGCATTTGGAATGTATTTAGTGCGAAATTTTGCTTGTTTTTGCTATCTAATAAACTCACCGGAAAAACGTTAACCAACTTGACATTTCGTTCGCTTGATCTTGAGGCAGTTACATTGTTTTCTAAATTTTAACAAGATTTAGCCAACATTTAACGAACCGAAGCCGGTATGAATTTTACGATTAAAATTTCATTGTGATCCCTTAATAACATGATTCGTCATAGTTCAGCATAATTTTTTATATTTCTTGATACAAAACACAAAACTTCAACCATAAATTTTCAGTGCATCATTATTTTTTGATGTAAATCCATATACTAATACAAATTTACAAATAGTGTAATTTCTGTCATTCTTTTGCTTTCCCTCTTCATATGAAAATAAAAAGCATAGTTTTCAAAACTGTCGCATTAAAAATCAGCTGTCAGCAAGCAAACTCTCACATTAAGTTAGTTTAAAAAAAAAATAAAGTTATCGAGCTATCAGCCAAAACGACTAGAAGAAAAACAACTGGCAATAAGAGGATGTAATAGAAATATTTATCAAATGTATGAAGTGATGAAAGAATTCAGATATAATACGGGAATAACTTAACACTGGTATTTTTCATAAGAAATGTGAATAGGATGAATGATTAAGAGCTCGTCAAAGTGCTGTTACCATTAATTGAAAAGAAGTTAGTAAATGGGCGACTTCGATCTTTTAATTTATTTTCAAAGTTATTATTGCTGAATCAAACAAAGGAAAGGCCTTATCAGAATTCAATTTCATCGTTTTCCAGATCGAATTCCATCATTAAATTGCAAAACACAGTTTTCTTGAAACTAGTGATTTTGTTAAAAAAATAACGGCAGACGGATTGTCTCAATGAGCTTTGTATGCTGGGAAAGCTGAATCAATAAATTTTTTGAATAAAGATATTCCTGAATGATTGTTAGTGATTCATTTTTGTGCCGAGAAAAGTATTACAAAGAAAATGACGGATTTGGACTTATTCATTGAATACATAGTTATGAAACCGATTTAACCAATTTAGCAAGCATTGAAATAGACAAGCAGGGACTTATGGTGATGGAATAAAATTCAGTGAAAAGATTTTTTTTAGAAAAAAATAAGGCATTTTGCAAATTTTCATAAATTGAGTGAAATTATTCAGCGGCGTTTTATCTCATAACCGATTAAAAGTGGACAAAAAAAAGAAATTTGCAGAATATTATTTACCATAGTAAGCCATCCTTAATGTATCGTCCATCAATCAGCGCTGATATGAAAGAAGAATCAATACTATTTTATCTATTAATTATACAGGATATTAAAAATACAGTGACCTTTTGCAAAATTTGGAAACAGATTTACGTATATATATTTTACAAATATATTGCTGAGACAGAAAAAGTATGCATAATGAATACATAAGTCACTTAATAAATAATTGGAGATAATGAAAAAATGGAAATATAGACTGTGGTATTTTGAGTCTATATTTTTGCGATCGCAGGTTGTAAAGGTGCACACTTATGATGATAATGATTAGTACAATATGGAAACCGATAATAAAAAATATGATGATAAATTAAGATTGCAATGAGGATGAGGAAAGTAATAATATTGATAAGAATGAATTAATGTAAGAGATATAAAGTTTGCGACGGAACTTTTACTTTAAGCTATTGATTCTTTTCAATGCAAACCAAAGCATACATTATTCAAGAAGTTATCCTTCTCAACTTGTTATGCCAAAGGTTTTTTTTTGAGAGAGCACGGAAAAACTGAATGTAATGAGAGAGATGTAGTATCAGCACATACCTATTATTTACTTGATAGTATCACTTTGTAAAAATACTATTCCTTCACGATACTGCGCTGTTCTCACCTAGCATTGAAAAAGAAAATTTAAAAATCAAGTTTATTGAAACTGGTGGAAGAAGTGTTGAAATTGAAATTGATCAGAAAGTTTGAAAGAGTGTTGAATTAACAACATTCAAACGGCAAATAACAATGAAAAGGTAATCAGTCTAAGAGGAGACAACATCACAATCTTGAAAAGGCTTAAGCTAATGCGTGATTATTTTAGCAAAAAACAGATTTAGGTGAATGGAACAAGAGGATGCTGGAAATGTAAAATGGTTATCCCAGTTGAAAAAACGGTTAATTAACAAAATAGGACGAAAATAAAAGAAAGAGACTGTTGTTGCTGGAATGGAATTTTCCAGGATCTGCTGTCAAAAGCTGCTGCGGTTGGAAGTACAGCAGTCTCTGCATTCTTATATGTCTCTATATAAATTTTTATTGCTCTTGCTGTGCTTCGTTTTCGCTCGTTGCATAAACAGCGATGCTGCTGAAGCCAATTAGAAAAAGGCTCTTTGGCCAAACCTCCGCCATTTTCATCTGTGCCCAGAGTGACAAGTAGCGATCAATGGAATCGCATGAGTTCTCACATCCTACTGCTTCATCGTTTTTCTGGACTCTACTGAACTAACTTATCATTCTGTTTCCTTTCACTTGATAAGACAATCGCAAGCTCTTACAATTGTGATGAACTTTTGTTTCAGTGTTTGCATTTCTATTTAGTACAGTAAACTGTCTTCCCTCATTTATGAGAAAACATGGATAAACCGTTTTTCGTTTTATTTTATTTTTTAACTTCATGCTTCCTGCATTTCGATACAAAAACAAAAAAAAAAAAGAGGAATAGTGGAATAGTGAAACGAAAACTGATCCACGTTTTACAGTGGTAGCTTTCGATTCTCAGACCTAATTTCTTATTGTCAATAAAATCAATACATTTCTTATTCTCACGTTTTGCTTTTCAAGCTTGTATTTTGACGGATTTAAAGACACATGTATTTTTTTACTTTTTAACTCGCTTCATATTTAGGATGCAATATACTGCTCATGATACGTTTGGAGGTGGATATGATTATGATCATCCTAATTATTATGCAATCCTTGGATGTGATAGGTGCTCAACGGTCGGTAAATATAAATAAATTCTTTCCATTCCTTCTTTAAAAAACTTATATAGGACATAATTCTTATCAATTCAGTAGGGGTTTCCTGTATATTACACAAGTTCTCTACATTCTTGAATTTCATTTTTAGAAATCACAGATTATAGCGGAGTATCGGCAGCGAATACGGCAACTTCATCCTGACAAATCATTAAAACAAGTACCGGAAATATTTCATGAACTGCATAAAGCTAAGGTCAGTTACACTTCTCTCCTTAACAGTATTGTTTAAAATTTTTAAATTCAACATGGTTCGAAGGAATTTTGTTTTAAAGGTCACTTTAGCAATGATGGCAGATATGAGTTCATTTATGAGTTGCAGTGTAATTGGAATCATGTTCCTCAAACTTTAATTCAGTGGTTACCTCACAGCTACAGTTTTGCAATCTTTTGATATATTACCATAAATTATCTGAAACTGTTTAGAATATTCTAATAGATGATGAGACGAGGCGAATGTACGACGCTTGGTTTGATTGCTCCATCAATATTCCTTGGCGAATGTGGCTCGAAAATTCTCACAACTTTTTCGTAAGTATTTTTTGCCACTGTGCATCTAAAATAATGAAAGGATTATAGATCTTTAGGCTCGAATTTGAAAATAAAAACATTTACATTTTTTTTTTTTCGATTTATTTATATCTGAATTATGAAAACTAATGGAAAATTGTGGCTGCTTATGTGACAGAAAATAAAACACGATAGGTGATAAAAAGTTTGCAGGGTGTACACTGGACAAGCCGAGTTCACAGTTTACCCGCTCTTAAATATCGAAAAGGAGAAACAAAAATGGAAGATTCATTCGTAGGCGGAATATTGTGTCAGCCATCCTCTCATCATTCTTTATTACTTAATAAGTTCAGACATTATGAAAACTGATGAGTTAATTTTTATATGAATTCCGCAACAGTGTTTCAGAAAACATTTTGATAAACTAAAATCCATCAACCATAACGAAAGATATGGATTTATAAAGTAATTTTTCAGATGTTCAGCATTGCTCATATAATGAATAAGAATAAAATGTCAGCTTCAAATTTTGAATGCAATAATAAGAGTGGATTTAGTTTTAACTCATCATCATCATCGCCATCTCTTTCCAAGGATATATTTCAAAGAGTTACTGTTAGCATTATAATCTCAGCTCAGTCATAAAAAAAGTTTCCGCATTGTTTGGATGGCAGAAACTGATCTAATACTTTAGAAAACAATGATTTCGGCTCGTTGAGTTGATGAACTGATCAACGATATCAACGAAGAGCTAACATAAACTAGTAAGATTATCGGATGAGCCAATCTTTGAAATTGAAAATATGGATGATATCTAAAAATTAGAATAAGCGAGAGGAAAGTCACAAAAAAGGACATCAAACTTGCAAAAGAAGAATTTCTCGTTCGCGACAAGCGAAACTTCAAGAACAGTTGTGAAAAAAGAAATCGGACTACACCACAGTGAAGGAAGACAGAGAAAGAGAGGGGGAATAATTTTACTTTTATTTAATGACATAACTGTGTTCTGCTAACAGTCCAAGTCTTTGATAGATGGGAGCTCTTCATCCACACTATTTTTTTTGTAGAAAAAGTAGAAAAGAAGTTCAAAAATAAATAACAATAAACCATATATTTGCGGTCATTGCTTTGGTATCTACCCAACTTTCTGGGAAAACATGTTGCACACCGATGTCGTTCGTTCCGCATGTTAAAATTCCATCTCGGACGTCGCCTAGTAATTCAATCCATCTATCTGGGGTGTCACTTAATACAAAGCCAGCAGCGTTTTACAAGTAGCTCTGGGGTATGTCTGTTTTCTTGGCAAAATGATTTTTCATGAATTTAATTGGATTGCTAAGAATAACCCAGAAATATCAATTGGATTAATGAAGATTCCTGTGATAGTGCTTACTCCACGTGTTTGTATTTTTAAATGTGACATATAGTTAATAGGAAAGGATGAGGAGAACAAGTACAAAATAATATATGGTAATGTTTTATGTAACTTTCATTTTGAAAACACTAAGTGCTCTGGAAAATGTGGTTCCTTCCACAAACTTTGTGTTGAAAAACGTAATGATGATGGATAATTATAGTTAACTTTGTTTAGCGAACTTTCTCTACGTTTTATATGGCAACATAGGCAATATTCTGTATAACTTTCTCTATGTTGTATATGGCAGCATAGGCAATATTCTGTATAACGAACTTCTGACTTATTTCATTGGTATTTGATCCTTTAGAAATATGGTTAAATTTGTTGTAAGTTATTTTACTGAGAGTCCATTTCTTTTAAATGCTGCTAGTGGAAAGACATTAAAAGCGGCCACTAATTTACTTTTCTATAGGTTCATATTTCGTCACTCATAAGCTGAAAAGTATGCTGAAACCTAGATTCAAACTGGAATTAGTCCAAGGAAAAATCTTTTGTGTACTTCTGCAGAGGATGAAATGTGGAAAAAAGTGTTGGGAACATATTTTCCAAGCAATAATAGGACACTATTAGTTCCGAACTGTTTGGAGTTTATAAGTTTGTCGAGATATTTGGATCATGAAGTGAAATACATATGTGGCTTTGCTATTTGAGTAAAATATTATACATTCAGGAAGAGATGTTTTTGAAGTGTTTTGGAGCTTCATTCGATATTTGAGATACGGTGCAAGACTACACCTTCAAAGAAAGCATTGAACTGGTAAGTATTTAAAATCTCGCACTTCGATCATTCGTATTTTCATACTGAACTTTTAGAAATAATCAGCCTTGTGATACTTGGGCAAGGCATTATTACTTGAGTAAGGATAGAGAACAGTACTGAGAGGGATGAAGTATGGTATTATAATTTCTGAACCTCTTTTTTCCATTGGACTGTGTTTTTTTCTTACGCATTTATTTCTGTTTTTCTGAAATGATTTATGAAAGAAAATGCCTTTAGATAATTTTTGTATGGATTTCATATGCGTGCTTTCGTATTCAATGGAAATCGTGAGCCAATGATAAAGTCCCAACAAAGTAATAACCAAATAGGGACGGCGGGACATCCAGTTGTTGTACATTCTTGTTATTTTGCAACAAATTGCATGTTTTTACATGTCTTCAGCAGTTTTTTATTATGAGTAGATTCCCTATCCTTAGTTCTATAATCATTTTTGCTTTTTTGAAACTGACCTAATTAATAGGGGAGATGAAATTATTTGCTGCTTCAACCTCGAACGAGAAAATTGGTAGACGATGGGTACTTTTGTCTTTATTGGGTATCATTGCCGAGGAAATTTATTAGTGAAAAGAAATAGTTTTTTTTTTCTTCTGTTCGCGTACGACACTTGTATAGATAAGGAGAAATGAGCAAGCAAAATTTAAGTTGAGAAAAAATGGAGGAAAAAGTTATGTGAAAAAGTGGGCAACTACGAGGAGATATCACATAAACTTTAGTAAAACGTTAGAATTCTCATGACGGGAAAACGCATTTTGTGAAAACGTTTAAAGCATCATTTTCGTTTCTCACAGCACGTTGCGCCTCCTTCACAGATGTTCCACACAGTAGTGCAGAGTTCCTGTTCAGTCCTGAAATGAAGGTTATCCTTTTTCTTTTGGCTGAAGCCATTTTGATCTTTCATTCCTTTTGTCTTCTAAGCAATATGAATCTAGAAAATTCTTGAGCCAGCTCACAAAAAGTCTAGTTTTTGCTTCATTAGCAGTTTAATGCTGCTATGTTTAAAAAATTTCGTGAATTCGTTGTCATGCTCATCTCTTTGTCTTTATCAATCTTCCTAGTCAGTGAATATAATTTTGGTGACAATAAAGTTTTGGCGATAAGCCGTGTATTAGAATAAAACAGTCTTGTCACTCCTGTAAGAAGTGGAAGCAGGAAAAAGTTTGAACAAAGGGTTAGGGAATAAAGGATGTATTAGTTCATGATGGTAAGTTGAAGAGAAGTAGGAAGTGATTAGTGAGGTCAGGTCATAAAACTTCCCGTTGCACCAATTATTTTGATCGGATGAATACGAAAGATAACAGCAGCGCGAACAGTATGCTCTTAACCAACTAGTATGAGAAAATGAAATTCGCATTTTCACTACAGTTTTAATCATGTTATACTGTTATGATTTTATTTTGTAATGTATGAAGCCACTGATAGATAACTGATAAAGTACTGTTGAGATGAAAGAGAATAGGGCAAGGAAGGGAAGGAAGACGTGGTGAGGTTACACAGTCCAAATAACCGGTTATTTTATAGAATTGGCGAGGACTCTAGTTTCTCATCTCTTGTCGTGAGAATTCCCACACCCTTCCATTTAACGACCCGTTTCCTTTCTCACGCAGCTTCTCCCATTCCAAAATATCATATTTTGTTTTGGTTGCTTCATGTATCTATCCCCTCGCCGCCTCCAGACTCATCTCACATGCCATCACTACACCGGTTGCTGCTAATCGCTCCTCCCGCCTATCATTCTTCAGATGTAACTCCAACTCTAACCTAACTTAAACTCTGGTCCAACTATGGTCTACCTCTCTTTATTATCCTATAACATCGTAGAAAAGTTGTTGTTCGTTGCACTGTTCACTCCTGTCAGCATTGTTGCTTTGCTCCAGTAATAATTTGTAGTTGGTGTTATGCTTGGGCAAGTCTGCCTTCACCTTTTCAAAACCGGTAGTCAGTACTGCTAATGATGGTATTATCAGATGTAGGGTGAGTCGGTAGCTTACCAAGATTTATTACTTAATCCCCTTACTGTCATGTTTCTGAAAGGAACAAGAAATTCAGTTGGTCTGTTCATTATAATTTAGCATTGGCAGTATATCAGCAAGTCGGTTGATGGTTCGGAGTGATTTGTGAACATCGGAGGGACATGTAGCAGGTTGGTAGATTGAGTTCGGGTAACCTCAATGCTTATATAATTGATGTTTCTGCCTTATCATTTTAAGGTCTTTGTAATAGCTCGGATGTCGCCATAAAAAAGTTATCCGAAGAGTTTTGCTAAGTTTGTTGCTAGGCAGAAATTTTGTAACCAATTTCTTTTTAAGAACGGGCTTCATGCATAGAACTCACATTGTCATCGCATAATTTTATTTTCATGTTGTATTGTGCTCACTAATTTGTTTACAAGTTTATATTGGGAATAAGTTTTGTTTTACCTTATTAGTACCTGTTCTGTGACCTCTGTGACCTCTCTTAGGACTGTAAGTTTACCAATAATTTTTACCTTTAATATAGTGCGAATTATTTGTTCGATGATCTTCGAATTGTTTTCCAACTTTTGAGTGCTTTAAATTTGTTAAATACATTTTTCAAACTTCCGTGAAAGATTTACAGTTCTTCATCGCAGTTCTTTGCGGCGTCTGTTCACAACTTGCGGATGAAGGACGTGAAAATTGAAGATTGCGAGGTAGGTTTTTCCACGCAATTGTTTTTGACGGCATTCCAGAATTCCCACGGTGGTTTCGTTGCATCCCTTTGTGTCCAAACATTTGCATACTGGATCAATCTGTGCTTTCGTGATGAAGATTTTTTGTATTCACGAAAATTCTTGATCCTAGTTTTTCTCCACAATTCCACTCATTTACCTTTTTTTTTTCTGTTTTCCCACGGCCGAATGTGCACCTCACACTGTCACTGGTGATGTCACTCTACTATTTGCTCCTCGTTTCTCCCGTATCCATCTGCGGCTGTTATCGCCACATCTGGTCTGCAGTTTAGTTATAAAAAAAAAAACCTCTAATGCACAAAACCACAGTATAATTATGCCTCATTTTCTGTCCTTGTTTGTTCCATATTTTCTTCAGTGTATGTGTAACTTTCAATATTTTTAGGCCGAAGCAGTATATCCTTTGATATCTGCGGAATCAAATTCACTTTTCGCTTTGATGTGGACTCAGAACCTTGCAGCTTTGGCTGCTGGAACAGGCACGAATGCTTCAACTAATTCATTTATGCAGCCGGTAAATTTTCATAAATTTTCGCTTCTGTGATAACGACCATCGTTTTCTGTTTTTGGCCTGTGTTAACTAATTTAAGCTATTTATACTGCATAAAACAACTTATCAATGAATGAGGTTATCATTCGTGTCGAAATATTGTAGTGATGGTTGTCGGCGTTTAGTGTTGAAGCTATAGTGGTGACCAGTTCTGTTGATCCTTACTATTTTTTGCATTTGATCTACTTTTTTGGAAAAGTATTGTGCTTATTTGCTTCGATGTATCTGTTTTGAAACCGATGTATCTCGCGGAACCAACTAATCACTTGACTATTTGCCTGTTACCATCATGATACAAAGACTGTTTTTTCATAAATTTTTTGGGGAAAAGTAGTTGATTGTATCACGAAGAATGTTTTTCCTTTAGTGCCTTCTAAAGGAAACTTCGCACTACGTCCCTATTTTAGGGATGAGGTCGTGTAGTTGTGATGCCATCTTTAAAAGTATGCTATAAACAAGTAGATTGATTGGTTTGTGGTATTTTTCCAGAATTAACTCTGTGTTCTTTTTCAGTTGTTGAATTCAACATCAGGAACTTTGCAACAGCTCAATCCGTTCTTGCAAACGCTTGCCGTACAATCTGGAATTGGTTTTTCCCCCAAAACGAATATGGCTGTCGCATTTCCTTCCAATGTAAGAAATATTTTATTTCAAGAAATTATTTTAGAATACCGTTTATCATTCACTTTATGTTACTTTTTACTACTTGATTTTCTAGTTTTATTACTCACTATATTCATTGCTAGTGTAAAATAATAGTGACAAACTATTATTGAGACCCATGTGAAATGTTTTCTAAATCAAATAAGAACATGGTAGGACAGAGGTAAATTTGAAGTTTTAATCGCTTCTTAATCGTTTTTCGAGACATGTCTACATTTCTAATACTGGGATAATTTGAAAATTACAATAGTACTGAATTGCGAACCTAATGATTTTTGTTTACTGGAACCGAGATCTTGGGTTAATATTCATGGATAATAGGATAAGCACAGGGAAAAGGAAGTCTAGACTGGAAATTGAATGTTGATTTTTCATAGAAAGGTGCATAAGCAGATAAATCGGTTCATATTTTGTATGGATATCCAAAATACTTCGAAGATGTCATTGTTTTGTTACTCGCGGTCCTCTTTTTTTTTTTATCGTTCTTTCTTGTATCTGTTGTACTTGAATGGACTTATTTTATATGTCTTACTCTTAGAAGATGTTTTATAGTCGCACAAAAATTTAACTAGGGAATCCAACTGAAATAAAAATAATGTTACTGTTACTTCAAGTAGCTTTTTTTTTAAGTAGTAAGTAGTTATTTTCAAAAAGTGTGAATTGTGATGGATTGTCTTAAATACAAGTGATACAGTTCTATATTTTTTGATTTTCCACTTGAGATCGGCTTAAATTTGTTCAATACGAAGAATGTCGGAAAATTTCAGAAAGAGGTTGAAGACACAGATAAAGTTCTATGCCGCAATCCAGCTTCAACTGGAAGCGGAAATGAGCAGGAGGCGAAGAGAATACGTCTTTCTTCCCACTCATTGAAGCCCTCTACATCTCAACATATCAACACGGTTTTAGCTGTTGGTGGTGGTGTATCTGGTAGTAACGGTGATATTACAGCAGGTGACATTTTACTTTTATCTCCACTGAAAGTAACTACTTTAGCATATAATTTGCAAGTAATTACGTGCAATGAAGCAAGATCCAAAGTTACACAATTATTTATCGGATGAAAACTTCTCTGTAGCGTTAAACGAATTTATGTCCAAATTGCATAAATTTTGTTTAGGGATGAGTTTCGTTGAAAAAATACATGGTTTTAATAATCCAAATATGAGTGGTTTTTATTGCATCTTATTTTCTTGCTTATTTTCGTCGTTTTCCATGACTAGGTTATCTGGTATCATACAAGTGAAAAATATGCAAATAAAAATTGCTTATTGCTGTATCCAGGACATATTTGATGAACATAAGATGTATGCATATAAATATGCGAATGTGTGCCATCCGTTTATCTGTTAGTGTGTATTTTCAGTTCGTATGAAATATGAGTAGTGGATTTGTGAGTGCCCGAAGATTGTGGGAATGGCTGGATTACAGTAGCATTGAGGGTTGAGTAGTGTGGGGTGCTTAAGAATCAATTAAGGAATGGATTGAGTGTCATCTGGAGACAAACACTCTATTAGGCAATCGTTACCGCACAGCATGTTTAAGACACATTGGCATGCGTATAATGGAGCAAAACGATACCCAGGACCGAAGAGATGTATACTTTGTTTACGGCATTTATTCGCCATAAAAATTGCATCGTCGTTCATACAGTATTTGTCATCATATGTATCTTAATTTCTTTGGCCAGTCACTTCTATCTAGCATTGATTGACTATCCTCAACAAAGTGGTTGGAAAATTTATGCATGAGGAAAGAGATACTGTGAATTTGGCTCTGGTTATGTTTGTCTCCAGATAACACTCAATCCATTCCTTAACGATGCTATGATTTTTGGTTTGAATGGCAACAGTTCGCTTAATAAGTTTTAGTTTTCATGCAGAGGATGTGAATTGTTTGCGAAAGCTATTAGAAATCTTGTGGTTTATATTCGTAAGTCTTGTGATACGGCAAAGCAAAAACATTGGATCTTTGAGAAGACTTATCACATGTTTACGACGGTGTTTTCAATCTTGTTTCCAGTGCTTCACATCGTTAACAATTACGATTCTGTGTAAGTGATTCTAATCGCGTTTTCAATACCTGCTATGCATAGGGAAAGTAAACCTCCATACCAGTTTCTTCTAGTTCGCCATGACAAGGACGTAGGATATCAGCAAAATATTGAAGTGTTGGGAGAAAAAACAGATGTTACGTAGTTTATTTCCTTATGATATGGTTAACTTAGTAGAATGTCTGGGTAAGAGTGATTATTATTTGCAGAGCATGGGTTATATAATGAATAGAAAGGTGTAAGGACATAATAAGCGAAAGTTTAGGAGGAAAGAAAGAGGAAAAGGAGTTGAATGCGGTATATGCGGAAGGTGTAAACCGAACAGCCTGCGGTGGTTAGTTGCCTCGTTGATTGGTTATCTCTAGCGTGGGAACTGTCGCCATATGTCGTACTGCTATACGCCGTTTCTTTGAATATATGATGTTGTGAGCTAATAGATCTTAGCTTCCGTTAAGTAATGCCTGTCCTTCCTGATAATATAAGTTGCTCCGCCCTTGTATTTCTAGCCCTTTCCTTTCCTTTTTCCTTTCTATTCTATCCAGCAATTAATGCATTTATGGGAGAAATGCTTGAAGTGGTGAAGTAATTGAGGGCGGTCCTCGGTCGCATCGTGAGATCTTTTTGTCCCAAACATCGGATAAAGTAGCAGTAGTAACAGGGAGTAGTCATGATGTGGGATAAGGATGGATGCGGACATAGTTAAGAATATGGAATAATTTTTGCCTGTTGGTGGTGGGAGAATTCTTGAGACTTTTCCGAATTCCCATCACACATTTCGACTGTCCGCCCTTTTACTGCTTCTCAAGGATGGATTATGTACCACTTCCATCAGAACCAACTGAAAGTCTGCAAATCCAGCAACCGGTGACTGTTTCAGCGCAAGGCACGTCCGCAAGTTCCTCGTTAGTGTCTCCGTCCATTACTGCTTCACCTTATGATTTCCTTATTCCCTCGATTACTACCCCTGCCGGCTACGGTTCTCCACCATCTATTGAATTTGGTACCACACAGTTCTCCTCTGCTTCATATTGCTATTCCCAGTATTCTAATTTGCATTCTCAGTCTTTGTGGCCTTCTGTCGGCAATTTCCAGCCTTTCGGCAATCAGACGGCTGTTTTATCATATCATCAAATTCAACAGCAACAGTTTTTTTATCAGCCTCAACACCTTGGGCATTGTTCAGGAATGGGTATGGATAAATTTGTATTTGTCGACAAATTGATTGTGTGGGCTGGTAGTGCTCTTTCGAGAAAAAATTTTGTTGGTTATTTGTATGGCTTCGTGTTATGAGGAGTATATGAACTGTCTTTTGTGATTCTTTTCGAACTCCGAAAACTGGGGGAGGATCATTGACCCATATCACAGAAGCAGTGTACTGAATGCAGTACAGAATACATAGTCGCAAGTCTTATACAGAAAAATAAGGTCTGGATGATTTTGTTATCAAATGCAAATTTCAGTAGCCGAAAGCTATAAGAACTGGGAAGTATTACATCCAGTCACAATTTTGTGTTTTGGAAATTAGGTCGTTCTTAGCAGTTCTCATTACAAGTTTTTCTAGTTAATTTTAGTAGGGTTTATGTCTCTATTACCAGTTGTCTTAAACTTTTTAGAAATACATTCTCAAACCTTATGTTTTACAAGTAACTCACAGGTCAATGTTTCTATATTTTGTTTTGCTTTTTATTAAAGTTACGTAAGGTTAGGGTAGGAATTTAAAATGACAGTGGATGATTAAATGACATATTAAGAGAGATGATGCCTTCTTCACTTAGATAACATTGATTCTGTGAAAGTCTAATTTAGATTCATTCTATGGAGGTATTTCAAGTCCATCGGGCACCACATTTGGCTCATCCTGTGGTGCTTTTGATTCATTTAGTGGTATTGGCAGCACAGGAATCACACCACAACAAAATACCAGTTACGCTGGTGTTATGAATTTACCACAGCAGTTACCTTTTTTAAATATTATTGGTGAGCAGCAGCCACTTACCAGGTAATTTGCACGATTTTCTTTTCATGATAAAGAGAATTCATGTTTCCTGGAAGTGAGATGATGTTTCCGTGAGACAAAAATTACGCTATGCATCTTAGCACTTTTTCACTATTCACTTTTTGGGAAAGTCTCTTAATTCAAAAGCTTTCTTTTTTTTTAATTGTCCCAGTAATATTTGTTTAAATTCGTTTTTATAAGTTTGTTGCTTCAGATTTCTTTCAAAAATCGTTACCATTTACCTCATTGACTTTCACTTTCCACTTAAGTATGTTTTGATTACAGAGAAGTAATGCAAGATTATCTGAATAATCGTCAAAAATATGATTGTATTGTTAGTATATTTCATGCTAAAGTGGCGCAGAAATCTTACGGAAATGAAAAAAGGTTAGTGAGTCAGTTTGTGGAATTTTAAATGGAGTTTATAGAAGTCCTAAAACTTTTTAATACTAAATTCTGGAAAACTAGCTGGTAAACTGATAATCAGTCAATGCCTTGAACGATGAGAAATTTCCGAATCGAAAGGATTATTAATATGGCTAGGATTTTAATTCCAGTTCTAGTTATCAGCAGTAGAGTTAATTATCTGAATGGTCTGCTTACACAGTATTTGATTCAATTCTTTTGGTCCCATGATCCGGACATAATGCTTCTGATTTCAGATAGTTTACATATCCCCAGTTTTTGAGAAAAGCAAAATTTATAGGTAAGACGGTTGATCACATACATTTTATCCGATATTTGTGGTGCTGTTTCAATAGGGAAATATAGTTTATACTGATTATTCATGATAGGTTTTAAAAAGCGTGAGAATATCTTTTTAATTTTGGTTTTCCATTAATTCCATTCTTTATCGAATTGGTTTTTGCTTCCAGCACATTTCAACTATCTTCATTACTTTGCATACACCCATCGACTACCGTACTTAGATGGATGACTTCTTCACATTTCCCACCTTCTCTATTTCTTCCTCCAGTGCAGCCTATTGCAAGCGTGTAGTCTCACTACCGTATCCTTCATGCCGTTACATCTATCTGATCGATTCCTTTTCATGCCTTGGCCTTAGCTTCCACATTGTTTATACTTCCGCTAACATGTTGAAGAACGCCCCAACTAATAACCCATGCCTCCTACGCTCACTACTGTCACTTTTATAAACTTTTTCTCAATCGTAAAGTGGAGAAGAAAACAACGCCAGTAGATTTTGATTAGAAGATATCATTGTTGAAAATGATTTCAATGATATTTTTTTAATGATATGTCACTTTCATAATTGAGAAATTCATGTACCAAAGCGACGGTATGAGAAACAGAGCGGTCAAGTGAATTATTTGAATAAAATCTTATGCCTTGTAAATCCATTAAAAAACCAATTCCCCCATTTCTTCTAATGCTTCTTCACGTCAGTAATAAAGTATATCATGGAAAACCTTTTTATTGCAACTACTGAATTTATTCAGTTTATTTCTCAGATAAATATAGCTCAGCGGTTTGTTTTCCTGTGGAAAGATTTCTGGTGAACTTTTATGAAAATGGGTTTTCAGATTTTTCTGTCCTCCACCATGCATTTATCTTTTCGGAGATGGATGGAAGCACAAAAAGAAGATGGCGGAAGATTTATATAGACGATATCGTGAATACCAGAAGCGAAACGATATTCAGGAAACGGATTCAGATGCAGAACATATTAGTGAAGCTCGGTCTACTGAGTTATGTGCGTTTATCGGAATTGGAGCTCCATCTGAGCAGGAAAAACAAACACTTGATTTCTCTAGCAACAAGGTATATTGTCTGGTTTTCCTAACTATCGATGCACTCGCTGTGATAGGATTACGTGTTTGCGTACTGTTAATGCAGTCATGTAGACGATGTGTCGGTTTTTCAAAGCTTACACATATTTGGTAATTTAGGAGCTTTAATTTTCAAATTTTGGACATTCTTTGCCAACTATGCTGCAAAACAACTTCTATTTTATTTCTCCTGCAAATTCATAGCTTTGTGATTTCGATTGTACATTTCTGTCTTCATAAGGGAAGCCCATTCGTCATTTTTGTGGTTAAATCTAAGTTTAGGTCAGAAGTTGTAGGCAATCATAGTAGTTTTAGTAAATATCATGAAGAACTTTGTAAATTTGCCCTTCGGTCTATTGGTAGTCGGGAATCAAAGCACCTAATGAATATATTCCGAAATTAATAGTATACCCTTTTCATATTGATTAAATTTTCTTCCAGTTTCCAATATTTCTCATCACTGATTTGTTCCAGGATTATTGTGCAGCAAAGACATTATATATTTCGGATGCCGACAAGCGCAAATATTTTGAGCTATCGGTGCAGTTCTTCTACGGGTCTGGACATGAAATTGGGATTTTTTCTTCTCAACGAATTAAAGTTATAAGTAAACCAAGCAAAAAGAAACAAAGCATGAAGAATACCGATTGCAAATACCTTTGTATCGCCTCTGGTACCAAAGTGAGCCATCGTTTCTTTGTGCCTTTGAAGACAGTTTCGTTTTGTTTTGTAAATGAAACAAATTCATTTGGTCCGTTTCAGGTTGCCTTATTCAACAGGCTTAGGTCGCAGACAGTCAGTACTCGTTACTTACATGTTGAAGGAGGAGGGTTCCATGCGAGTTCGACAAAGTGGGGTGCTTTTACAATCCATCTGAGTTAGTTCTTTTGTACCATTTTAATTGTTGAGTTCAGTCCAATTATTTTGTTTAATCTTACCATTTTTTTTTGAAACATAGTAAGAATTCCTATTTCTGGACATTTCAGTCGAGGATGACCCTAATGCAGGTGAATCTGAGGATTTTAATGTCAAAGATGGCTTCATTTACTATGGTGCTTTAGTGAAACTCGTTGACAGCGTATCAGGAATTGCTTTGCCTCGTTTGGTATGTATCGAACTTTTTAATATAGCTGTTGATGACAGTTGGCAGTGGGATGTTCCTGCTGATATTGAGGTAGTTACGGTTTTTTAGAGAATTCGTAAAGTCGATAAACAACATGTTGTACTGGATGCATCTGCAAGCGAAGAACCAGTTAGTCAGCTACACAAATGTGCATTTCAAATGGTTGATTCTGATACAATTTACCTTTGTCTTTCACATGATAAGATTATCCAGCATCAGGTAATTTTTATTTATTTATTCATTTTTTTTTCATTTACTAGGGGAATGCACGTTTATAAATTGAAGTTCTAGAATCTTGATATGACGAAATTAATTTGTTGGTGCATAATTGGCTTTAACTGTACTTTTACAGGCTGTACCCGTCGATGCAAATCGACATCAAATTAGCGATGGTGCATCGTGGACTATTATTTCTACAGATAAGGTAAGTTTAACTGAGTTTTGGCAAAATTTTTATTCAAAATAGTCTTATTCACTTACATCGGTATAGGGAAAAACGGAGGCTAAATGTACATTACCGTGGATACATCATAAGATTCCTTACTGATGTACATTCCTTACTGGATAGACCAGAGTTTGAAAATAAGTTTCATAATGAGTTTCTTGTGACGTATGAATAATTCATCATCAATTTTCTCTTTTAGGCCGAATATCGATTTTATGAGGCCATGGGACCAGTACGTCAGCCAATAACTCCAGTACCTGTTGTCAGCGGTATGGAGCTGTATGGCGATGGTGATCTTGCCCGAGTCGATCTCATTGGTTCAAACTTCAGGACAAATCTCAAGATTTGGTTTGGTACTATACCGGTGGATACCATCTTCAGGTTTGTTCAACATTATAAGTTTAAGTGGTGCATTATAACGAAGAACTGAAAGCATTCGGAAATTACTGGTATGTCTTTAAGCGTCGTCATATTTGTTGCCTGAACTCGTGAAACAATTAAAAGGTATAACGTCCTAATTGAGTTTTTGTGCTGAAATACTGGCAAAAATGAAGAGCGAACAAAAGATCAGTTATTTCTTCGGTAATTTTATACGCAGTGAAGCTAACTTTTGCAAAAGCGTTTGGTTGTAGATCAGAAGAAATGATGGGTTGTTTGGTACCTCCGTTGTCGGCGGTTTGTCCGAATTGGGCACCGTATTGTGGCGAACCTGCTGCAGTTCCCCTATCGTTGGTTCGAGATGATGGTGTCATTTATTCCACAAACATGACATTTAGCTACAAAAGTGAAACGGCTGCGCGGTCGATGGTGAATCGACGGTATTTAGAAAATATGACGTCATAAGCATCACTGATGACTCATTTGTCTTTTTTCGGTCCGCATATTGTTCTAACCGTTTCTGTTGTCCCTACTGTTCTGAGAATTTGGATTTTAACTTAAGCATCATCAAAAATCCAAATACAGTAGATCTACCATACTGCAACGAACCCATAGTAGCTTACCGTTTCGCAAAGTTGTGGCAAGGTATTCATACTTCCACTCCTTCTTTTGAAATATGGAAGAACGAGGGAATAATCTGCCTTACTTTGGTTTTATGTATGATGTTTCTAAATAGTTTGGATAGTTATGAAAATTTTATCTTCGGAACTATCTAGTACGTTGGGTTGTGCTGCATTTTCACTCCGCAAACTTTATTTAAGTTATTGCAAATTGTAAACTGGCAAGTAAGTGTTTATTGTGCAGTGCTAAAACCACTTTTTTCTAAGCTCTTTCTGTCTCGACACGTTCCTATATTACTAAGTTTTATATCGTAGGTTGTTATGTCACTGCAATTTACAATATAAATATTCTATTATTTGTTCACTTTCCATTTTTCCCATCTTTCATGAAGTAAACTATTGAGATGCTGTGTCATATTAGGATCATGTCAGGATGTGAGACTGTTGCATCTGAACAAAAAATTTATTTGGTACCCATAGCATGGTGCTGTTGGAATGGATTCGAGAAAAAGACCTGCACACGGGACAAATAAGTTGTTCGTCGTTTCTAGAGTGCGTACGTTGAGCACTGATTTGTCTTATGTTTTCTGCTGAATTTCTGTGCCGCATTTCATAGGCTACAGTCGATGGGGTTTTTGCAGTATTGGGTGTGTCTGCCGTACACTTTTTGCATTCCATGCGGACATTTTTTGCGTCCATTCGAGTCTCGAATTGCCAGACATTTCCCTTTCCGCAGCATCTTTGAAGCTAAATTCAATTGGAAGTTTGTGACCTATTATTCCTTAAGATTTAATTGGGAACTGTTCTGAAAGTACAGCATTGACGTACAGCATCAAGGGGGAGAGGGGAGTATTTTTGCCTGTGGTCTAAACGAAGGGCGAGTTGAGGCATCTAGAATTGGCTAGTACTGTCAGTTCTCTGCGAGATATGGGTCTTTTAGCTATATTTGATATCGAGTTAGTCCCCTGCCAAGAGAACAACGTGGGGATACAGAATTAGAAATCCATCGGAATTAGCGGGTAGTTACCTCGCTTGCAAAGTTTTGTTTGTTGTGGACATTTTCGTACATCAGTTTGGTCTTTGCATTTCAAATAGCGATGTTGCACATTGGAACTGTTGCATAATGACCACTGTGTATAATCGTCCTCAACTGGATCGTCCTGAAGAAAGTGAACCGGCACTATTAGAAAGAGATATCGTAAGCGTTTCGTCACATCTCAGTGTGGTAATGATTGCAATCAAACCCGGAAGACGTCGGATATTTCCTTCTTATTGCGTGTTCGTGGTATTTCAAAGTAAAACACGCGAACTCCCTGATTTTCAGCAACAAATACGTTTGGATGTGTTTCTCGATTTTCCGTATTTAACAAACAGTTCTGTAAGAAAGCATTCGTGTGTTTTCTGTCACTGGATCTTTAATCTTTGGGTGAATCTTTAATCTTTGGATGATATCTTTGCTTATTCAGTAAGCTATTAGTGACAGTACATGCAGTGAAGAAAGGACTACATACCTGATCTTTATCATTTGGGTACCACATTGCTGAACGACACAGGAATGAGAATTCCTGTTCAGCTTGTAAACAGGCACTCATACATCCGATCAGCGAGGCTGCATCAACCACTTCCACTACATGACCAACAAGAATATGATCCAGGACTGTTGGCCACAACTTTTCTGTTGCCTTGGCTAAACTCGCTGAGAAACAAAACTGGAATTGATAAGATAAACGGAATTTGTTCTCAGATACCTTTATAAATTAATAATATTCTGGTGCTAACTTATACGCCGTAAAATAATTTAGGTAAACTACATATTTAAATGAAAATGACGAGTTTTGTACATACTTTTTCCAGATATGTGCTGTTTTCTTTGAAGATGAAGTCATCACTGTTTTTATGAGTAGTCCTTGAAACTGATAATTCGCATTCTTTAGTCCTGTGAATAACAGATGTGCTGCAACATAAGAATTGTAGTACTGAAACGGGTAGCACAAGTTCCATAGGGCTACATTCATCCTGATGATTATTTATCCAGGTTACAAAAAAAAAAAAAAAAAGGAAAAGAATTTAAGCATCGTCTACGTCTAATAGCTTCCGAAGTAGAAGAAAATTTCGACTTCTTTATTCCTGAAAACTCTGAAAATATTTCTCTATTTGGATTTTTGAGAGATGAATATTTAAAAATTCCGGAAGTACCAAGTGAACATCTCATCTTGATCGCATGCTCTTGCGCATTCTTTCAGACTTTCGCTTTTAACAAAGTGCATATCAGTCGCTGAATTTAACCGTTCGTAGTTTAATATCATTGCGTAACGTGTCACATCTTCATTCTTGCATAGCTTTTCACCACTTTTGTTAGTCAATTTTCGGTGCACAGGCTGCAAAAAATGAGCAGGCTTGTGGCATAAAATTATAGTGTTGCCTTACGTTTGTTTGATTTCCCAATTTCTTTCATTCTTTTCGATCAGGTGGTCTTTTTATATGCAAGTAATTCTTTCTACTTTTAAATTACAATAAAGGTGACGAAAATTTAACTGATACTTGGTAGTCTGAAAGCGAATCTGATCCATATTTTTCAGTTATCTCTGTGTTTTGTGAAGCTGTTAGATATGCTGGTTCTTTATTGCCTGCATCAGAGACAGTCGAGTACTGAGTTAAATGAACATTGGAAGACGGATTTACTCGCAGATATCTGCAGTAATTCGTAGAAACCTTTGTTGTTTTATACATTTTAATTATTAAAAACTACCGAATCAGCTAGTGTTGACATATTGAATAGTGCTTTAACATTCAATACTATATTAAAATGCATCTAGAAATGTGTTCTGAACATTGATTACTTAAGTAACACTGCGTCTTAAACCAAACTATAGTAAAATATCTTTCAGCCAGATTAGACCATTCAAAACGGAAAAAAGATATGTGTACTCGAGATAATCTCTATCCAAATATTCAGTAAGGAAATGAGGAGGATTTGTGCCATTCACAGCAAATAAATCGCAAATTTTCCAGTGATGATCGAAAGTTAACGAACGGCACATCCATTCGGAATTCGGATCCTGGGATAACTGCAGATTTATTATGCAGAAAATGAAAATACTGAAATCTTCTATGAAATTATCAATTTTGGAATGAAGATGGAAGGATAAGAGATCGGATTTGTATCTTTTAAATTGATGGCTCTTTCAACTAATAAACTTAAAATGATTTAGCTAACTGCTACCTGAAAATGGAGACATTTTCGAACACATTCCTCACATGTAAAGCCAGTTGTGCGCTCAAACATTATTGCGTTTGCAATTGCAGTTTGAGGCTCGAATCGCCAAGATTTACGATCTGAAAAGAGGTAGTTTGTAACCATTTTACAAATTTATTAGTTGAAAACTACTGTAAGTGAAAAAGAGGTTTCGACAGAAGCAAAGACAGAGAAGTTAGAGAGAGAGAGGGAGAAGATTTATGATAAATTCCTTGAAAAAAGAAGCACTAGTATTAGGATTGCCATATTCATATAGCATATTCCTAGAAATATTTAGCTAATAAAAGTAGATGGATTCTTGCTTCAGTCTTACTGAACTGAAATAAACGTACCGAAGGAACACTTTCCGGAACTTTTGGCATCTCGTCTTATCGGAGGTGGCGGTGGCCGATATCCGAGCGATGGCTCATCTCTTATTAGAACATGTGGTGGAGCTGCAGGAACTGTTGGTTTTGTATAGACATAACTTGATTCGCTTCCTCCATAGCTTAACTGTGGTGCTGTTACATTGACAGATGACTCAGTTATGCTTGAATACTGACCATTAGCTGATTGTAGCAAGCATGCAAAGATAATAGCTAGCATGGCACAGCCTTCTGTAATGACTGGAGAAGTTTTAGGTAGATGAACAGCCGACACTACCAGGTGATATGATATGACGTTAAATAGGGTATTGGAGGCGGAACAAAAAAAACACATCATGGATTAAGTCCTTAAAAGATAGGTTGACAGAAATTAGGAAGACAACTGGATGACCCGAATCCTTCTTTCACTACAGCATATTTTATTTGCCCTGAATTTCATTAATGGATACTGACGAGCAATATCTTTCCACAGAAATATTACATCATTCATTCCAATTTCACCTTCTAATATGGGTATTTCCTACTAGTTAATCAGTAAAACTCGTCACTAAAGAGAAAGTATTACTAAACACTCTTGATTTTATGGATGTAACGCAGTTATCAATCTTCATTAATCGATTTTTTAGACATTCAAAAGATTGTTCTAGACTTAAAAGAAATAATCCTTTTGGAAAAACTCCTCTAGTTTTAGAAAAGAAATCAAAAAAAAACTCCGGGTTAAAAGTAGTAGAACAGAAAGCATCACGCGCAAGTGCTCATCAAGTTGGAAATTATTTTCATACAAAGTCCACGAATGAACCTTCAACAATCCCAAATATCTCTTTACAGTATTAAATTCCTGTGCATTTCCCGGGAAAAATATATCAGCATTGCTTCGAAACAGAAGATGGGACTACCTACAACCCACGGTAACATGAAGTCTTCCAACAGCTCACTTCTTTCAACTTTGAGAAAGAATTGAACCTGAACACCAACACTCATACTTCAGACTAATAAACCAAAATAAATTACTTTTTCATTTTCTCTAATCTCTATTCTCATCACCATCAATTGAAAAAATGTGGATTTTTCCTCGAACATCACTTGATAACAAAAAATGAATTTCATTCAGATTTCATCTTACCATCATGATCGCTGCATAATCTATTCAATTGAAAAGAATCAAAAAGTGCCTGCTAGTCATTTCATTTGATTTCAACTTTTATTTATGAATTTTTATTTGTCTTTACCATCTTACATTTGCCCATAATACTTCTAATTGCACAAATATTGTATAATGAATCATTATCACATAAAAATATACATTTTACAGCACACCAAACAATCAATCACAAACAATGATTATAGAGAAGGCACTTTGGAAATTTGGCACTAAAGAAAAGATATCAGTAATAAAAATCAATGTCATAACAATATTTTACGTTTAACAACAGATAGTTAATACAGATTAAGTCGCGAATTAAATTAATAAGTGCCACTAAACTTTTAAATTTCAATTGTCACCTTCAAATAAACTGCACTGTTATAATCAAAATTCAGAAAATCTTAAGGCCTTCCATGCACAAGAGACTTGCCTCATCCACATATTTCCCTTATTATTCAAAGATTAGAATACGACACTTTTTTCAACTAATTTAGCAATCAACACCAAGTGTCATTTCAATATTAAGGGTAATATTCGCAGTAATCGTTTATTCCACAATAACTCTATAAACAATCTTATGATCTATTACGGTTTTGCGCTAGCATTGAAATTCTTTCTCGATAGAGTAGAAAGCAAACGAAAGAACATTCAACAAGAACTACGAACATATTACCTAAAGCAGACTTTTACACAAATGAAGTAATATAAGTTTTCTATAATTGGTAAATAAAGCATTTTTGAAAAACACTTTTTTGTCATAAAAGATCTATAAGCTAATTGAAGAATGCAAGCACTAAGCTTCTATATTTGCTCAAAAAAAAAAAAAAATTAACATAATACATATCATATATTAAAATAACTTATTAAAAAACTTTTTCAATGATGCGCAGAAGCGTTACTCGAACAAAACTCGGTATTATCTGGCAAATAAAACGTATCCAGCAGAAAACAAACAAGAAAGCGAAACTAAGAAGTGCAAACGAATCCCGATAACTGCTGCCTGCAAGTATTTCTAGAGCATACAGCACTATTTAAATCAACCCAATTAGTAATTTCTTCATTAAGTAACGATACTTCATTTAGTTTCATGAGAAATGGCTGTGAATATTTCAGAATTTCTAAACAACATGAAACACTATATCGTAGTTAATAAAGATGGAAAAATCCACTTTTAAAAATAACAGTCTATCAAAAGACTCGATGATGTGTAAGATATGCAGGGATTTAAATGAAGCGAAAAACAAGCGTTACTCCAAGATAAGTAAAATCAAGGAATACTTACTTTATAAAATATACCAAAGAATCCTTTTTTTTCATTAAGGAGCCATGCGTTAATGCGCGGCACTCTCTTTAGATAAGCACAAGTGCAAATTACGAGCAAACCGGCAATCACAGCACCATCAAACGAATATGCTGTAAATACTTCGATAACAAAATTTTAAAGCGTCTAAAACATTAGTTTCGAAAGTTCAGTTCCAGTTATTCTTTTCAACAAGATCTCTTGATGGCAACCTAAATTTATGTCGCATATATTTACAAATTGGCTTCCTTGAAGCAATTTTCAAAGCTTAAAGTATCTTATTAATGCCTATTTGTACATGCCAAAAGAATAAATAGATTACCGTTCATAAAGACAGATAAGATGAGAATTCCTTGTTTTTTTTTGTTCGCAGGCCTGAAATCTTAAGACTTACACTACAAATTACTATTATAACAGGAAAGCTATAATACGAACAAAGATTATTACGAACTCCTATTACAGATATGTTGTTTACGTCCAGAATTCCAACAAGCAAAGTCAAATTACTGCTCTAATCTAACAATACCATTAACAAAATGACAATCACATTGATAGTCTATAACAGTACAGCAACACTTGCCTATGTCAAAGATCTATGCGTAAACTTCAAAAGTATAAACAAACCCTACAAATAATAAACAAATTTTAGACAACCTTCACGGCAGACCTAAACTAGTAGAACATGAAAATTCTCGTTCATTTTTATCCGTAACACAAATTTTCCCCAAACATTTAACAAGTAAATGTTTTAGCAGGACCACAGATCAGGTCCGATTTCCAATGTCGTTTCGGACAAACAAAGATGTTGGTAGGGAGCATGGCTTATGAAGAGGTGACAGACAGGTGAAGTTCGCGAAATGATGCTTGAGAAGATTGGAGTGTTGTTACCGTTTCCGGATGCAATCCGTAAAATGTGCTAATGATAAGGCAGGTTATATTATTATCACTGGTACATTTAATTATATAACAATATGGATGCGTGGATTTTACAAAGAATTATGTTTTTGGGCTCCTATCTCAGTTCAAGTAACTAAATAATTGCTAATTTTGCATTAATTAATATTCCTGTATTAATATTTGCGAAGTTGAAAGATCAAATAAGACGCTTAATGAATGACGAGTTGTGTTTTATGTTGTTTCTTATAATTATTTTCATCGTTCAAAAAATCGATTGCTAAAAAACATACTGGACTAATTCAATGAGTTTGAACTTCCACAATCATGACGTTTCAAGAAACAAGAATTTCAATTACAAAATGATATTACATGTCAGAATTATTATTTAAAAAGAAAAAAAATTTTATTCATTTTGTACAATAAGTCATCGATGAGGCCGTGGGAGACTACCGAATATGTGCATGCATGGGAAATTGAAAATAGATAAAGTTAAACTTTCAGTTGCCAACAAGTTCTATTTAATTCGCTAATAACTGTTTCTGATTACTTCCCGGATGTACATATAATAAAGAAACAAGAGAAGGAAGAAATTTCCCGTACTTTTCACCGCTGTTTGGGAATACAGAAGAAAAAATTTAATAACAGTTGAATTTTATTTCTTGATGCACAAAAGGTACCAATTTTTTAATGTTGTGTTATGCAAGTTAAATGTGGAATTCAATTCGTAAAGCATTGTTGTTAAAGCCTTCGATTGTGCCTGTTTCTGAAAGATATGCTGGTAAAATTTCGATTAGTTTTTGAAATCAGGAGCTTAAAGCTGTAGCAGAGTGTTTATGTTGTGGCAGTTGTTCATGTCAACATATCGAGAACTCTTATCCCTTCTTCTCTACCTCCATTCCACCTTTAGGGTATTCTTCAACTTTTTCATCTTCTTCAACCTTCAGTTTGTTCTCCATTCTCTGTTACTAACAAATTTTAACTAGCAAGCTAGGGAGGTTTAGATGAATACACGTTGTAAAGAATTCTTGAGATGTTGCTTATCCAGTTCCTACTGCTGCTGCTGTTGCTGTTATTGTTGCTACTGCAGCTACTACTCCTACTGCCGCTAAAAACTGTTGAAAATGTCAAATGAGTACAGGGCGATGAATTGCAACCCTCTCTCTCGAGCTTTTCAACCATCTATTTTAAGGTTTCTTCACCCCGAGGCATATATCTCGAGCTTTGTGCAGCTAACACTAAAACAATCCTGTAAACCTACCCTCCTTATTACTCCTCCTTCCCTCTTCATGCTTTATTGCATTAACCCTTCAAAAATTCATTATTTCTTAGAAGCTCAGTCATTCCTGAACGCTTGGTTTAGGAGGATGGAAAGTGCCTTGTTATCCATCTCACATCATTGCAACTTCTCACTGTTGGGTAATGAACGTTAGAAATAGTTAAATTTTTTTCTGCATTGATTTGCTATTAATTTAAACTTTCATTTCTTTACGAAATCGTTTATTACATTTAATCGTGCTGTATTTTAGAAGGAAATGAGCTTACAGAATGGGCTGAAATAGGATGTCTTTTGAAATGATCTGAGAAATAAAGTAGTTGTTAGATAATTATGTTTACAAAATACCAATATGATAAACAGTTATGGGATGTACTCATCTACAACTAATTTTTTTCTCATGCAATCACCGACAATAATTTCATATTTACTCAATATTAGATAACTGAATTCAAATGCTCATGGCTTATTCGAATCACTCTTCCTAATCTGTATGAAATAAACTTTAAACTTTTCTAGATCCTGATGTTTTTTTACTATTTTTAATGTGATGTGACTATAACCAAAATTGAAAATGTATGTTATTTATGCTTAATTTTATTTTCA